ATTAAATGTTTTTACAATTTTGTTCTGACAGTCCCATTGACTCATTTACAGTTTTTCTATTACACAATAAGAACATGATTGGATGGAAATGTATAAAACCATTTTACTTTAGATTTCAAACAGTGTCTGATAGCATCTGCTATGAGGCCAAGAGGTCAAAGCTGAAAGAAAAAAAGAAGTATCATGGTAAAGAGAGACAAAAATGCAACGTCCTCTTATGAGGACACAGGCTCTCAGGAGGTTAAAAGGCAGGCTCTAACGTGCCCCTCCCCCTCAGGTCCTCGTCCCCGCGCTCCCTGAGCCGATCGCCCGGTCGCTCTGCCAGTCGATCGCCGGCGCGGCGCCTGGAGGAAACCGACGAGGCTCAGCTGGAGAGGCTCTACAAACCCGTGTTCGTGCTGAAGCCGTCCTCCATTAAGTGCTCCGAGGGCCAGACGGCCAGGTTCGACCTGAAGGTGGTCGGGAGGCCCATGCCCGAAACCTACTGGTTCCACAACGGTGAGCTCCACCTCGTCCTGATTATACATTGTCTATTGTTTTTTTTCTTTTTTTCTTTTGTGGTTTCTTGTGTTTAATGTGGACAATTTACCAAAATAAAGTGATTGATTGATTGATTGATTGATTGATTGATTGATTGATTGATTGATTGATTGAACATTTAGGCAAAGAGGGAGGTTTATTTGTATAGCAGATTTCGTGTACAAGACAATTCAAAGTGCTTCACAGAGAATTTAAAAGCAGAAAAACAAGAAAAGAAAAATAATCAAAATTAGACAGAGGAAAAGTGAAGGGAGCAGACAAAATATATTCAGTTTCCATAGGCACAATTAAACAGAAGCGTTTTCAACCTGGATTTAAACACTGTCAGAGTCGAAGCCTGTCTCACTCACATCTTCAGGACGATTGTTCCAGATTTTAGGAGCATGGAACTGAAATGAAGAGGTCCGACGGCCCACAGAAACGTCTCTTTTCTGTTCTGTTCCAGGTCAACAAGCGGTCAACGACTACACCCACAAGATAGTGATCAAAGAGGACGGGACCCAGTCCCTGATCATCGTCCCGGCGGTGCCTAAGGACTCCGGGGAGTGGACGGTTGTGGCTCAGAACAGGGCTGGACGGACGTCTGTGTCAGTGTCTCTGGATGTTGAAGGCAAGTCCTCCCCAGCCTGATGTGTCTCAGCTTAGAACAGTGCTCCTCAATTATTTTCTGTTACGCCCCCCCTAGCAAGAAGAAAACTATTCGCGCCCTCCCACTCCCCACCGTGACTATCCATCTCTGCATAACATTTTATCCTTATTAACATTAAAGAACATAAGAAAGACATGGTCAAACATATGAAATTAAAAATAAATAAACATGTTTGACCAACTAATTGCACCGTTGCAAAATTAAATCAAATCAATAAATAATATTTAATAATTAGAATAACTAATAAACAAAAATAATAAATAATTTATATTCAGTTCAGCAACATTAACTCAGGAGCACAATATATAAAACACTTAGCTTTTGAGTGACTTTCTTTAGTCTCATTATCTTTGTCTCTCTCCGCTTTTCTTTTCATCCCCGTTAAAAACTTTTCCATGTTGCGGGTTGTTACGTTGAATAACGGAGGCTAACCTGTCGTCTTTAAGTTGTAAAATGTTGTACTGAAGTAACGATGAGAGCGCCACTGCCTCCTAGTGTAATAGATGCGCAATTACACTTTATACTAGTATGGCCCAAAAAAAATAGGCTCCCCCCCTATCGCACCACTATTTGAGAAGCACTGTCTTAGAACGAGTGTGTCCTGACTTCCTCTTTGGTCCACAGCCCGAGAGAGCGTGGCCCGCCCTCAGTTTGTGGAGAAGCTGAGGAACATCACGGTGAGGCAGGGCACGCTGGTGGAGCTGGCGGTGAAGGCCATCGGAAACCCGCTGCCCGACATCGTGTGGCTGAAAAACAGCGACATCATCTCCCCACAGAAGCACCCCAACATCAAGTATGTCATTGAATTGAATTGAATTGAATTGAATATACTTTATTGATCTCCAGGGAGAAATCGTTGATAGTCATCAACTATTTCTAAAGAAATATCTGGTATCCGAACTTTATTTTGGATACTACAGTTTATTCCTTAATCACATCATTGGACTCACAACTTTGTTCAATCAAAACATGTTGAGATCATCAAATAAATACGCTGCCTGCTTTCAGACAACTGGGAAACACAAAGCCTATAACAGCTCATTTCCTTAAGCTCGTATGGTCGAACGACCAGCGTTTGTGGTTGTTAAGTTCATCCCTATGAACCATCTGTGGTCTGATCAGTGTGATCTTTACTAAGTATTGAGCACATCTCCGCTGTGTGAGATTATTGGACTGTGGGACAGTAGAAAGGAGGCGTGGGAATGGGTAGATTAAATGGTCGACGTGAGGCTTTCTGATCTGGATCATCTTATTTGATAGGTCTGCCTTGATGCCAAAGGCTTTAAAAAGTGTGAAACATCTAAAGGCATCCATCCTTTGTGTCAAAAAGCAAATTAAAAAATTATTATTAGAGATTATATAAGATTATTAGCACCCCAACATCAAGTAGGCGCCTTTTCCTCCTTCTGAGTCAGTGTGGTCTGGAAAAGAATCACCGTTTTGACCTGGTTTCTTTTTCAGGATTGAGGGAACCAAAGGAGAAGCCAAGTTTCAGATCCCGTCTGCCACGGGCCCAGACAGCGCCTGGTACACGGCTACCGCCATCAACAAGGC